CAGTGTAAGACTAGAGGGAAAGCAGCTAGTCATCACCAACTTTTGGACTACTCTTTTACCAACGAATAGAGGGATTGATCGTCACATTATAACGCCCCCACGGCTGAAAGCATGTTTGGTGTGACGAGGATTCGAACCCGCGACCCTCACCATTGCGAGTCGTGCGCCCTAACCACTTGGCCATGCCGGGCTAACAATAGGTAATGTGTGTATGGAAAATAACCTTTACTCCCCAATTAAAATTAATTAATATCATTGATGGTGTTAAAGATAAAATTGAAGTAAAGGATAGACATAGAATATATAATTTCTTATATTTGCAGTTAAAGCTATATTGCTGTTAATAAATTAAGAATTATAAGGTTAGGTTTGAAGTTAAGCACAAAGCTACACAATGGGCTATCTGTGCTCTGCCCACCACGGGTATCGAAACCCGGTTTCTAGCGTTGTAAGTCCGCAGACGTTAAGAAGGAGTGATTCTGCCTTTACTTGGAGGAACATGCGGTGAACTCTTTTCTTTTTTTTTACATATCGTTGGTTGAGACAATGTAAAGATAGCTAAAGAAGTAAAGTTAAAAACGAATTGAATATAAGAGAACCGTTAGAAATTGTTTAAAAATAAGTTTAAATAAGGATTTAGGTAAAGTAGATTTTGTAAGTGGCGCCACCGTACGAGATGAAACGTACATTTACAGGGAATATGAACGATTTTTTGTGTCTTCCTTGTATCCTAAAGATGTTGGAGCATGTTCCACTAACACATATAAAGAGTTTTTCTTATCTTTTGTTCTTGCTTTTAATTTTATACAGTAAATTATTGGGCATATTTGAAACGTTGGAGTCGTTCACTTACCATTTTTATACGTGCTGTCGCTCACTGGTTTTAAATTTATTCATCTCTAGATGGCAGCACCTCAAGAGATTTAGACTGTTATTTGAAGATAAGAAAACTTATTTGTCTAAAACAAACATAAAACCATGATTGATAAACATTTTGAGGGTTAATATATTTCTAGTTTTGTTAAAATATGAATATTTTCCATAACTGACCACTAGGAACTTGACTTTTACAACGTAATTATTCTAAAATATATTTAAATTATTAAAACAACAAAAAACATTTTGCTGTCTTTAACTTAAAATAAATGTTGTTTCTATAATGATCAAAATGTGTACATTTTGTTTAAAAAAAACCATCATATTTCGTATTGTTACGTCTCCGTTTGTTAATTGATTTTCCGTAACTTCGTACCGACGAAACTTAAGCGACACAAGTCTTTACTTAATAAAACTGGTTTATTCTTTCCGAATATAACTTAACCGATACACTCAACTTCAACAATCGCGCTAAACAAACGCTATAGCAACGAACGTCAATAATACTTCTGACTGCAGTTCAATTACTCACTCTCTACCCACACATTACAATAATCTCGCGTCACGTTGTCCCCTCTTATATATACCAGCCTACCCTATATCTAGTAAGAACTAGAACATTCGCCAAAGTACATGATAGTTCTAGAAACGTTGCGTCACAGTAGTCATGTGACTTGATGACGCAACAGTATTTTTAGATTATCTTGGGAACTGTTAGTTGAACTACGTATCGTTTCCTCTAAGCTTAGATATTAAATTTTAAGCTTTAGTTTGAATAACTAATTTAATCGATAGTTTATTAAAACAGTTTTGTGTTTTACTATGCAATCAATAATGAATAGGTTATCGACGTTTGAAAATGCAAGATTCAAACACGACACAGTTTTCTTGAAAGGTGTCGTTAATGGACTAGCAAGGCTTAGATAACGTTTCGAGCTGACGAAGATCTACACTAGCATCTAGTAACTTGTCCAATAAATTCCTAGATAGATCCAGTACATTACTCACTTGTAAGGTATATGCTTTTCTGTCTAAGCCTTCTCTCAAAGCATGGCAAAATTTCAGTTGTTAAAAAATGTGCCTTTGTAGAACGTGCTAATAGGGTAACTAACCCTTTAACTCAATTGGTAAAACACGCGGGATAAATAGGACACTGTTGAAATAACCGTCTTCTACAGAGAGTTTAGTTTAACAAGTGAAGAAGGTAACAGTAATAAAAACCAGATATAATATACAGATCTTTAATGTCTAGCTAATAAAGAACAGATATAATCAACAGATCTTTAAAGTATAACTAATAGAGAACAGATATAATCCACAAATCTGTAAATTCTAATCCGGAGAAGTATATTAATTTTTTAAGACTATATGTTGCATAAAGATCAATGAACACCAAAATATTGAGGCTTAAGCCTTTAAAAGTATAACGTTCCATCACACTTTATCTAGATCAGTAGATGTTTTCCTGAGCTACAAACGTTCGTTCCACCTTGATTATTATTTTATTATTAAAGAGTAAACTCTTAACGAAAATACACCAACTTATAACTTATACAAATATAAATAATTTTCTATTCGTTTTCTAGGCCTTTTAAAATTTAAGGGTCATTTTCGTAATAAATAATAATATTATCACCAATGTCACAGGAGTACTCCCTTCATACCTGGTACAACTTTGCCATAAATAAGGACATTTTGTTTTGGCAAGTAAAATTAAGGAATTGAAACAGAAACCAATTCATTTACTGTTTTTATGCTTGTTTATTATTATTAAGGTAACATTTTTTACAGATATTAGGCTACAGATATAAACTTTGCAGAGAAATGTATTTTTCTTCTTAAAAACATTTTCGAGTTTAAATTCAAGTTTCCTAGGTAGCACACAAACCTAAGAGATCTGGTAGTGCTGAAGCCGAAATTTGGTCAGTTGCTTATTCCAGTTAGCAGAAACACAAGATTGTTTTATACAAAGTAAACTTTGTCCAGATTACTGGTCGTCTGCAGAATATGACAGGTTATTTTCAAGACTACGACTAACAACGTACGGTGATTAAAATTAATAATTATAAAAATGGCAATAAAATCTAAATTGTTGAATGTTTCGGATATTTGAAAATTTAGTTATACATATATTTGACGTGCACACACGTACGATCTTCGACGTTCCTTAACTTGCTAAAAACAATTCAATCAAAATTAATACTTATTTCGACGGTGTTATCGTTGAATGAAAAGATAAACTTTGGTACGCAGTTTTGATTCCTCAGTAAGGAGTTACTTCATGGCCTAGAAGACTGATATTTTCCTTTCTCTTCTGGTGGGTGTGTGTCTAGACGTTCACAGAAAAACCTATCATTACAGCGACCAGAATGTCTCCGACTATATCGAGCTGCTCGTTTCAACCGTTTCTTAAAACTGTCAGGAATGTAATGATTTTTTAACAGATGGCGCAGCAAACTAGAAAGACAAATAAAAAAAATTACCACAATAAAATTTCTGTTAACTTGAAACAAAACACATTCACGGATATAGTTACAGCACATGGTTTATACCTCTAAGATACTAATATTTCTAAAATCACAAATAATAGCTACTATCCTGGTTTCCATTCGGTAAATACAACCAATGATAAACAGATGTTCTTTTTTAACGACATTGTATGGTCAACTTAAATTATCAAAAACACAATGATTGCTTTTTTTATATTTTAATCTTAGGACTTTATTACCAAACATTATAATGTCAGAATGACTTTCTGTACAGATAACCCACAGAATGTCTACAGATGTGACTCAAAGTCTTCGACCCTCAGCTAAAATAAAATCCCGTTACTTCTTTTTTTTATTTTTGATAGATGTTACTTTCTTCTTACATATAAAAGTTGTTAGCAGTAATAAATGAAATAATTCAATTTACTTCAAATATTCGATGACGAGGAACCCACTTTGAGACTAATAATGGCTGGAGACGGCTTAAATGGGTAATGAAGAAAAACTTTAATATAAGTTTAACATGACAGCAAATGTACAACGTTTCGACAAGGTTTTGGCATCAACAAAAACCAATAACGAAGACAAAAACTTGTAGAAAAGATGGACATTTTGTGTCATGATTAACATATAAT